GGGCTTCCACTGCTGCGTCTTCCCCGGCTCCGCGTCATCCCCTTCTTAGGCCTCGCCGACGATCACCGCCCCGGTGCTCTCGACGCGGCGTGGTCAACATGGTCAACAACCGACTTCCATTGGAAGAGTACTGTATGTGGAGAGGCTGACAGCTGGGTCCACGGCGGCCGCAAGGAAGTGCCTCCTTATTATACGCGCAAAATAATTATTCCTCCACCTGACAGCAGGGACCCACCGGACGGGCCACCTTATTTCACGAAAAAATGTTTCCCCCTGACTACTGGGACCCACCAGCTACATATTCGCACGCAAGGAAGTGCGTCCGGGCAAAAAAACAATTCGCCCCCCTGACTGCTGGGACCCACCAGCTACATCTTCGCACGCAAGGAAGTGCCTGACAGTCGGGACCCACCTGGTCGAAGCGTACGTAGCGTTGTCATTCTGGTCACGAACGTGTATGTACATACTGGTCGATGTAGAGGCGCACACGTGTCTTAGTAGAGGCGCGCACGTGTCGTAGTAGAGGCGCGCACGCAGCATGTACACGTACGTATAGTGGCCAGTGTGCAAGAAAGAAAATACGGCCACATACGTACATACGGGCGGGGTCTGGAACGCCTACTCGCGCATACGTACGGCCAGGGCTCGTGTACAACCAGCTGGGTCGGAACGGAATGTGTCGTCGTGTTCATTGGGAGGGCTTGGACGAAACAGGCGATGGAAACGAAGCCTGGCATACCACAGAATGGAGGGAACGGCCTTGTGTTCGACCGACCATGTTCAAAATGGGATCCTGTTCATCGGGAGGGGTCTGGCGTACCACAAAACGGAGGAAACGGACCTCCTACATTCGAAACGGGGGTCCTGTTGATTGGGAGGGGTGTGGCGTACCGCAAAACGGACGAAACAGACTTGTGTTGGAGCGCTACGGTCGAAACGGGGGTCCTGTTCATTGGGAGGGATGTGGCGTACCGCAAAACAGGACTCCATGGAATACTGTTCATCTCCACCGTCGACCTCCTCCAGCCTCCACGGGCTACTGTTCATCCACCGTCGACCTCCTTCAGCCTCCACCTGCGACTGTTCATCCACGGGCTCCTGTTCATCCAGCCTCCACCGCGCGCTACTCCATCGGCTACTGTTCACCCACCCCTCTCCGCAGGCTCCTGTTCAACCACCCCTCCATGGGCTACTGTTCATCCACCCCTCCACCGTCTACTGTTCATCCAGCCCTCCACGGGGTCGTCCTGTTCATCCAGCCCTCCCACGGGGTCCTGTTCATCCAGCCCAAACCGGCTCGATCGATCGGGGTCATGTTCATCCAGAGGCAACGCCACGGGGTCCTGTTCATCCACCCCCACCGCTCACTGTTCATCCACCCCCTCCCCCCGCAACGCTCACTGTTCATCCAGAGGCAGCATCGATCGGCTTCAGTTAGCAGCAGTAGCGAAGGAATCGCTCGATCGGGTTTAGTTAACAGCCATCGATCGATCGCTCGGGTTCAGTAACGCGTAGCCTGCAGTGCAATCGCTCGGATTCAGTTAGAGCCCAACGCTTCACTCGGGATCAGTTAGAGCCAACGCCTCGCACACACGCGCGTACGTGTACGAAGAAACGCGCATCGCTCGGCCCCCGACCACCCACCGTAACTGGGAACTCCCTGAAATTTTCCTCGCCCTCGCTTCTACCATGGTTTTTTTCCGTCATGGACGCCCAAAGAATGTCATGCAGCTGCGTCTCCGGCCCGCCCAGGACGAAAAGCCCATTTTCTGTCATGATTTTTTGTCACAGAAGTAGGAGCCCACCACATCTATGATGATACCGGGTTTTGTCACAATTATCGTCATAGAAGTGTCATAAGTATGACAGGAAAAAAATTTGTTCAGCCCAAAATGTCACGGATGTGTCTTTTTTTTGTAGTGATGGATCCTTCACTGTGAGATCAACATATAACATGCTTGTCACTACCAAGAACCGAAGAGAAGCATGGCTCGAGGAAGTTTCAGGTTCGTCCAACTCCAGGGCTGAGGAGGGGGCATGGAAAACCTTGTGGAAAACAGCAGTTCCAGGCAAAGTAAGGACGTTCTTATGGAGACTGTCTAAACATTCACTTCCGACAAATGATGTTCGAGCTCATCGTCATATTGCTGATTCCCCTCAATGCGGACTCTGCGGAGTCCGGGATTCCTGGCGTCATTCACTCTTGAAGTGCACTTCGTCTAGAAGCGTTTGGGCCCTGTCCGATGAGGAGACGACACATAAAATCATAGCTATTTCGGAGCCTAAGGCGAAGTAGTGGTTGTTCACGCTCTTGGAATTGCTATCTCATGAAGAGTCCGTGATGGTGGCGATAACATTATGGTCCATATGGCATGCGAGGCGCAAGGCTATCCATGAAGCTATCTTCCAGAGTCCCCACACGACTCACGGTTTCATCACAAGGCTTATAGCTGACCTCAGCATTGTTAAGGAGAATGATCAAAAAGGAGCCGCAATAGTGGTGCCAAGCACTCGGGTGCACACACGGCCAAAGAAGCCACCAACAGGACACTACAAGATACATGTGGATGCGGGAGTTCTGGGCAGAATAGAAGGATCTACTACGGCTGTATGCAGGGATGAAGAAGGAAATTATCTGGGGAAGTTCAGCTCTAGTGATTGAGGGGATTACATACCCAGACTCCCTTGAAGCAATGGCATGTCGGGAGGCCTTGGCACTTGCAGAGGACTTGGGTGTCCAAAACTTTGTGGTTGCATCGGATTGCCAACAAGTGGTGGCAGACATCAACAAAAATGCTAGGGGCCCATATGGGGCAATTGTTAATGAGATAAAACTCAGAGCATCTTCATTTCATTGTACTTTTTTGCAGGGGCGGAGCTAGCATGTGGTCAATGGTGTCAAATGACACCAATGATTTTTCACTAGCCTACTTTAGAGGTAACAAGATACTCTTACAAATACGCAATGCTACCACTATACTTACAAATATGACACCAGCAATAATTTTTTCTGGCTTCGCCCCTGCTTTTGTGTTTGAGAGTCGTGCTGTCAATGTTGAAGCACATAGTTTAGCAAAATTTTCTTTTTCTAGAGGTCCGGGACGCCACGTTTGGTTTGGTACTCCCCACGATATCAGATGTATCCCACTCCAGGTGAACTTTCATGAATAAAGTTGGAGTTAACCCTAAAAAAAAGGGCGATGCTAGGCGCCGACGCACCGGCCGAACGCTTCGGCCGGTCCAACCCTAGCCGTCAGATCGGCCCGTCCCGATCCATTGGATCTTTATCCAATCGCGTCGTCTTCTTCCTCTCGCGAGCACGGACGGGAAAAGGAACCCCGTCTCGCCGGTCGCACACGTTTCCCCTCGTCGCCACCCCCTTGCCTGCCCTCCTCGTCTCTGATCGCCGTCCGTCTTTGTCGGCCGCCCTGGTCGCCAATCCCAGCCCTCGGCGGCCGTCCTCGTCACCGGCTTCGCACATGCAACAGCCCACCCATGCGGTGGTAGCTTCCGTGGCAACTGTTGTAGCTCCGATGGCGAGGACCGGAGCTGACCGGCATGCTCACCGGTGTGCTCGCCGGTGCTCATCCCTCGCTTGCAACAAAAAAATCGAGCGCCCAGGGAGATGCCTAGTGCTGCAACCTATGACGAAAAAAGCTACAATCGGTGACGAAAAAAAGCTTCAACCAGCTATGGAAAAAGTTTCAACTCGTATGAAGGAAAACTATGAACGACCAAAGAAAAGTTACAACCGGTGACAAAAAAGCTTCATCTGGCGACAAAAAAAGCTTCATCCGACAATGAAAAAAGCTTCAACTGTGAAGCTGTAAGCCATGGACGACAAACGAAAAAGCTACAACCGGCGGTTGCAAAAGCTACAACCGGCATTGAAAATGTCACATGGTCGTAGCAAAAGAAAATGTCGGTTCCAACACAAAAACAATGTAGCATATCCAACATGCCCACACCCGGCACCGCTCGTGGCTTTCCCCCTCGCCGGTCGCCGGTTGAAGCTTTTCACACATACAATTGAAGCATTTCTGTTAGCGGTTGCAACTTTTCTGATTTGCATATTGTCTAGTTGTAGCTTTCTCTCTCAATGGTTGGAGCTTTTTCCAACTACAGTTGAAGCTTTTCTATCAATGGTTGTAGCTATTTTCTTTTTAGCAGCGGTTGGTCAAGGCTTTTTGTGTCGTTTCGGTTGAAACTTTTTTCATTGAAGGTTGTAGCATTTCATGTCAACGGTTGTAGCTTTCTGGCGATGGCGCTGACAGCTTGTAGCTTTCTCAACATCCGGTTGAAGCTTTCCATCAAGGGGGATGAAGCTTTTTTGTAAACGGTTGCAACATGAGGGGGTGCGACGGTTTCTGCAGAAGCCTCTGGTGTTGCCCATCGCTGCCCGGCTCGTCGGCGGCGTGGCAGAAGCATGAGGCATGTGGGAGTTGCAACCGCTGGAAATATGATTGGTCAACAGCCTTGCTGCATCCAATGGCGAACGGGGCTGTAAGCATGGCGGGGTGAGATCTACATCCATGGCTGCGCGGGGATTCGATCTTTCATGGCCGACGGCGAGCTCCTCAAGCGTTGCTGTGATGGAGACAGGAGATGCGGGCGTCGGCGCTGCGTGCTGCAACGATGGACGCAAGAGACGAGGATGGGGCAAGATCCGCGGAGCTGCAAAACGGAGATGAGGCGAGATCCGCGGGATAACGCAGGAGGACTAGCCAACTCGGGTCCATCACGCCACGTGGTTGCTCGCGAGTGGATCGCGCGTGCGCACGTGGACTGGACCGGCCGAAGCTTCCGCCGGCGCACCGTCTCCAAACATTTACCTAAAAAAAAAGTGCTATGCTACGCTTAAAATAGCCCGGGCCATCGCAGACCGCTCTGCTTGCTCGAAGTGTGCGTTTTGGTCGACAGTTTGCCGCAGCGAGCGACAGATAGGATTTTCCGCCCGGCCCTGCCCTGCCCGTGCGGCTCGCCTCTCGTCTCCAGGCGCCATGGCCTCCGAGCTAGGGCTACCGCCGCCGGCGAAAGGCCCACCGGCGACATTCACCACCATTTCCGCTATCAGCGACGACCTCCTCTGCGAGATCTTCCTCCTCCTTCCCTCCCTACCGAGCCTCGTCCGGGCCGCCCTCGCCTGCCGCACCTTCCTCAACGCCGTCCGCTCGTCCCCCGCCTTCCGCCGCCGCTTCCGGGCGCTCCACCCACCGCAGCTCCTTGGATTCTTCGGAGAACCCTGCCGCGCCCCCGTACCTCCCTTCGTCCCCCTCCGCAGCCGCTCCGACCCGGACCTCGCCGCCGCCGTCCGCGGCTCCGATTTCTTCCTCACCCGTCTCCCGGAAGACAGCGGCGACTCCACCCTCGGGTGGAAGCTACATAGCTTCCACGCCGGCTACGTCGTCCTCGTCAAAGATGCCACCCACCAGATCGCTGCCTACAACCCTGTCACGCAGGCGCTGCATCTGTTACCCCGGCCGCCCGAGGAGATCCTATTCTCCGACTCTCTTGAGGCCCACATTGTCTTCCCCGAAGAGGACCAGCGGGTGTTCCGTATGGTCTGTGTCCAACACCAGAGCACGCGCCAGCGGGCGCCGGCTTGCGTAGCTGTCTTCTCAACGGTGACAAGGGAGTGGCAGGTTTTCCCATGGGTGGAAACCCCGCCGCCACCGCCACACGACATTATCAAGTTTTACCCTGGCACGCAGCTGAATGGATTCGTTTACTGGAAGCACACGAGTCGACCCTATGTACTTGTTCTCAACACTGCGACAGTGCAATTCTCTAGACTGGATTTGCCGCCATTCTTGGGACAGATTAGCTCTACGCGATTCAGACTTGGTCAGACCAAGGATGGGATGCTATGTATGGTTGGCATAGATCTCTCTGATGCAGAGAGAGGAACGCTTCATGTTTGGCTTTGGAGAGCTGATGACGATGGTGTTCAGAAATGGGTTCTGGGAGATACTTTTCTGCTCACTACATTTATTGATGCCACTAAGGATGATCCCACAGTGTACATTGAGGCGGTTATCGATGGTTTTGTTTATTTGTCAACTAAGTATGATGAGTATACTGACGAACGTACTGGATCTCTGCTATCCCTCTGCCTGGAAACAGCAAAGCTAAGCAAGCTCTTTGGTGATAGTACGTATGTAAGCCCCGCACATCCCTACATCATGGCGTGGCCTCCTTCTTTGGTGTGCAACAAGGTGAGTCTATCCTGAAGATCCTGGTAAAGTCTGTAGAAGTTTGGTCCTTAGATTTATTTTATTTAAATTACTTGAGGGCATTGGATTATTGTAGTTGTGATAATCTGCGCTTTGAGTCAACTGTTTTTTATTAAAAAAAATGTTTGATTGCAAGTCTTGATACAGTAGAACACTATCATGTTTGATTTGGCAACTCCCTGGTAATCAAAGTCACTACATATGCTGCATAACTGACAACCGTGAGTGATTGTATAATCTGATAAGTGCTGACTTCGATAGTTTTAGGGAAAAGCGGAAAGAGAGTTCATGGGAAATGCATGAGGGAAGTTGTCGAGATCTTTCCTATGGCCAATTCTTTGCCAGTTGAAAACTAATCTCTTTGGACTGATCATACTGTATTTCTTCTCACAAGATGAGCTTTCTTACAAATGTGTTGGTACTTAAGTTTTTGGTGCTGTGGAAAGGTCATGTGTTGGTTTCATATACTTATATATCAAGGAAACAGTGGAGACATAAGCTACATCTAGCGAATGTAATCCAATGAACGTAACTAGCAGTATGTCTACTTAGCAAGAGGCTAAGCGGTGAAATTTTGCTATCTTTGGCTCTTTGTTGTGGATTGAGTTCCAGACCCTCCTTTATTCTCAGCTTGAATAGTCATCCATCCATCCTGGGTCATTTATTTCCTTTTGTATAGTTTTCCTTTTGAAACGGATTACCATGGCACTGAAGTTGCAGAGAGTTTTTTAGTTTAGCAGCAACTGTATGGGGTATATTACATGGAGAAATAAGTTATTTGCATAGTTTTGCTTCGCTGTGTCTGCTTGCATACCTCAGGAACTAGTAAGATTTACTTGGTACTGATGAAAACATTAAGCATGCAAGCAAATCCAAGATTGGTGCATTTTATCTCCCTGAGTCAACTTAGCCTACCGTTGCAGCTAACTTAAGAATTGAGATTATAGCCTTGAGTTTTTTTGGAGGCTATCAACCTATTGATGTGGAGATACATGAAAATTAGTTAAAAAACCAGATGTTATTATTCATGATACTCATATAAGACTACTGGCTGTGATGCTGGTCAACTGGTCTCCTTTTTTCTTCTTGATGGACCATCAGCCATTCTAGTGTCCTCATGTGACCAAGTTTATATTATTGTTTTCTAGATGCAGTCAAGCTTCAATGGCAGGTCTTTCTTAGCTGGTATGTGATGTCTGAGTCTGACTAATAAACATTTATTATTATTCCTAAGGAAGCCGGTATATTGTGAGAGTTTGGCTTAATAGGAATGATAGAGTACTCATATCAACAAGGAATTCATTCTTTTTTGGCAGCCCATTCGAAAAGAACTCCAAAGTTAAGCGTGCTTGGCTTGGAGCGATTCTATGATGAGTGACCGACCGGGAAGTTGGTCCCGGGTGTGCGCGAGTGAGGACAAAGTGTGCAGGAAAGACTAGTGTTGGTTTGTGGGGTCAGTCTAGATCCCGCCAGGCGTAACAGCCAGGAACGGATGGCTATGGCCGGGGTGTAGAGCTGACCCTTGCGGTTACACGGACATGTGCGGGTCAGGTTCGCGGACATGCAGCGCATGGCGCGTGTGGTCCGTTGTGGTACACGGCATGGCACATGTGCCGGACTAGACGCAGATACATGTGCCAAGAGGGAACATTCCTGATGGGCAGACGAGGACGTTGGTTCCTTTGGGTGGGGTTGTATGTGAGAGTCTGGCTTAACAGGAATGATAGACTACTCACGTCAACAAGGAATTCCTTTCTTTACCAGGAGCCCATTCTAAAAGAACTCCAAAGTTAAGCGTGCTTGGCTTGGAGCGATTCTAGAATGGTTGACCGACCAAGAATTTGGTCCCTGGTGCGCACAAGTGAGGACAAAGTGCGCAGAAAAGACTAGTGTTAGTCTGTGGGGTCAGTCTAGATCCCGCCAGGCGTAACGGCCAGGAACCGGTGGCTATGGCCGGAGTGTTACATATATGATGCCTGAAGCAAGTGCATCATGTACTCCAAGCCTGATTGCTGCCTCACAGTGCAGTGTGATTCTCTTTGAATTTGTGGGTGAGTCCAAGCTGTTCACTGTGAGAAGATGGCACTGATGTAACAAATCTTATTTCATCTACTATCTAATCTGTAGCCTTGTGCGATTTGTCTATACAAGTACGCGAATCCTGTACTTACACTGAACTATCCCTTTATGTCTTATTAGGGGGATTCACAAACCATGGTTAGTGGAGAGAGTGTTGCGGATGCTGCTCCCGTGGGCATGAAAGAAACTTCCTCTGTTCATGCCTCAGCGTCGCCATCCTACAAATTTGATTAATGATGATGAAGCAAAAGTCACATAGGGTGTTTTACTTCGCATTCAGGATGATAAGAGCTCTTGCGAGCAAAATGACTACTGCTTATGATGCATAGCTGGCAACCCAACCTCTTTGTCATGAGCTTTTGCTTGAGTGCGTCGGTACTTCAGTTTTTGGGTGGTGTGAAATGGGCATGTGCTCGTGACATGCTTTTTTTTCTTTCCTTTTGTGAAATGGGACACGCTGTTTTTCCCCACTATAATTCTCAATTATCTTTTGCGTTTTTACATGAAACAGGTCATGATGCGTAGTTAGCCTTCTGAATCACTTGTCCATCAACCGATTATTGTGTTGGTTTCTGCATTCCATATGGTTGGGCATGACATGTAGGGCCTGCTGTGAGTTCATTCCTTCTCTACAACATACTTGCATTCATATTTGTTCATGGGCAAGTCATATTTGTCAGTAGCATTCATATTTGTTCATGGGCAAGTCATACTTGTCAGTAACTTCCATGTTTGTTCATGCGCTGCTTCGCTTCAAAGCCAGTTAAGGTTGCGTTTTGTCCATAACATTCAGATCAGGCCTCTTTGATTCAAAACCAATTCCTAGGAGGAATTTTCAAGCTTAATAATGTGGCGAGAGAATTACTAGGGTGAAATCGAACATGCATACTGGTGGTGGTTCCCATCCTGGGTGACGCCTGTCGTGGTCTTGCTTGGCAGAATATTGCTTCTCTAGTACAGTGGCACCATATTTGGCGGTTCAAGATGAGCTACTCATTTTGCTTTCTTGCGATCCTCGTTCTGTCTAGAGTACTTTCTTGGCAAACATTTCCGTTTCTCTGTTATTGCTATTCTGAACTTCTGATGCGTACTCCATTAGATGGAAGTTGCAGCCTAGACCTCGAACACTTTTTGAGCTCTTTCTGAGTAGTTGTCGATCAATGTATGCTGTTTTTTTGCCCTGCCGTGATTGGTTTATCTCGTACTCCTAGGTTTCAAGAAGGTTCTGGACTGGGTTTCCGTTGCCCAAAGATAATTTGAGCTGGACTGTACTAGCTCCGGGACCTGCGAATTGTCTACACACATAGAGTTCATAGATATGTGCCATTATTTTGACCCCTCCAATTATATATCACATCAAAGACTAAATACAAAATTCTGATTGTTGCTGAATTGAAAAAACTACCAACTGCAAGTAAGCAACTCCTTCAAATCTTTCGGTGGCCTGTCACTCACCTCTTCTAGTCATTTGGCTCCCAGCTGATGATGATTTTGTAATACAACTTTGGATTGTGTGAAGCTCCCATTGTAAGTTTGTAACTACAGGCAACATACTTACTTATCAACACTCGATAATCATGTTCTGTAACTATAATATTACATGGCTGGGCTATGATCTCGGTGCAACGAGCTGGGAGTGGCAAGGACGATCTTACGAGTGCAGCAGGACAATGTCAGCCATCAGACATGCACATCGCCGCCGCCGCTGCTTGTCTGGCGGTCGCGGCTGCTGCTTGTCTGACGATCGCGGCCGATTTCCATGTTTCGAAGCAGCCTGCTGCAGATCCTTCTGATCCGGCGCCCCCCTGGCACCGGCAGAGATCGCCTTCGCCTCCCGGCGGGGGACTCCGACGACGACGCCATGTCGCTTGTGGCGGAGACGATCGTCGGGATGCTGCGGCGGCAGATTGGGCAGGAGTTGTGCTCGGACAGCCACGTGACGATGCAGTGGGAGTGGTACAGGTGGCCGCAGGGGAGCCGGCGCGCGGGCGCCGAGGGCGGGAGGGGGTCGGTGCAGACGACGCAGTCCAGCCCGGCGTCCGTGACGGTGACGGTGGGCAGGGCGGCGATGGACTCCGGCGGCGCCGCTTGTGACCCGCCGCGTTGAAGCGGCGTGTCGAACTCGAACACCGTGTCGTTGGCGGCAATAGACGCCGCCGCCGCTTGTGACACACCGCTTTGGACTTGGAGCGGCATGTCGAACATGGCGTGGTAGGTAGATACATCCGGCGGCGGAGGAGGCTGTGGCGGGCTGTCGTCATCGGAGTCGGACGGATTGAAGAGGAATTCATCCCATGTCCCACCGGACGCCAGCGGCAGCCAAGGCGGAGGCGGAGGAGGAAGCAGATCATGAGGCGGTGACGTGGTCTCCTCAGCGGTGGAGGAGCGCAAGGTCAAAGGAAAGGACTCGGATAGTAACTCGCCGCGGTGGAACAGCGGCGGGGGCGGGGGAGGAAGCAGATCATGAGGCGGTGACATGGCCTCCTCGGCGGTGGACGAGCGCAAGGTCAAAGGAAACGACTCGGATAGCAGCTCGCCGCGGTGGAACGGTGGCGGGGGCGGGGGAGGCGGCGACGCCAACAGAGGGGAGGAGCAGGCGGTGGAGTACGGGGACGACAGGGGAGAGACGGCGGGCGAGGACCGGCGCTGCTCGCAAAGGAGCCGGAATTCGCGACATGCCGCTGAGCGCTCGGGGCAGTAGGAGGACGACACGGGAGCGGTCGACGTCGAAGGCGGCCTTGCGGAGGAAGACAAGGGCCCTGTGCGCGGGGACACCAGAGTCCGCGGCCGCACCGTCGTGAAAGAAGAGGACGGCGACGAGACGCGTGGGATCGTCGGAGGCGGCGGTGGCGTGGAAGAGGTGAACGGGTCCGGCGGCCAGGGTACGGCGCACAGGGGTGGTGGAGGCGGCGGCGGCGGCGGCGGTGACAGCGGCGCGTGGTGGGGCTCGGGGGAGTCGTCGAGGTAGTCCCGGCGGCAACGTGGGCAGAGGGTGAAGTGGAAGGGGGAGGACGGGGAGGGGAGCTCCAACCGGGAGCTGCAGGTGTGGCAGTAGAAGCTCACGGCCTCGGGCGAGGCCATGGCGCGGGCTCCCCGAGCTCCGGCCGGGTCGCGCCCTGGCTCCTCCATATCCCCGATACCATCGATCGGCCGAGACGCGGTGCGGCTCTGCTCTGCTCGGTTTAGTGATTGTTGTGCTGGCTCGAGCGTGTTTTCCTTTCCTTCGTCTCTTTTCGATGGAGGGCTTTCCACGCTTGGGTGACTAAGAAAGAGCCTGACATCAAAGTTTACATAGTTTAATGAACCTTCGCTTGTCGCTCTTTCTGACTAAGTGACTATATTATGTGGCTGTTCACGCATGTCACTTTCTCGGCTCAGACGATGGCCACCGAGAGCTCAGCGCCGAGAGCAAATCAGCGAACGACAGGTCGCTGGGAACAAGCGGGTTTGGTTGCCGCAGTCTACAATAGCTGCAAGCAAATTTAACAATTTTGATCCGTGGATAAAATCAATTCATAAAATAAACTGCCTGTAAAAAAAACACTCGACTGACCTTTTGGGTGGCGCCTGACACGAAGGTGTCACACCCTACAGTGCATCGCCTATCTTCGGGACGTTGCATAGTTGTCCAGCGTGGTAGCCCCGGGGCCGCACCCAGCAGTGCAGTGCCTCAGAACTAGGCGCCACACATGTAATGCTAAGAGGCGCCATACTATATTGTGCTACGCCTAGCTCAGAGGCGTTGCACAATACAGTGTAGCTCTCCTGGACTAGGCGCCACACCAACACTTAGCGAATTTTGGGCCCCAAACCGAGTGCAAATTTTCTGTTGCTCTCTGGATAGCTCTACCCAGGGTGCAACGCCCCAGAGCTAGGCACCACACTATGCTATGCAACGCCTACCTCTGAGGCGTTGCACCGCTAGGTAGAGCTATCCAGAGAGCAACAAAAAGTTTGCACATAGTTTGAGCCAAAAAACCGCTAAGTGTTGGTATGGCGCCTAGCTCACACGCGCCACACTGTATTGCGCAATGCCTAGCTCAGAGGCGTTGCACAATACAGTGTGGCGCCTTTGAGCTAGGCACTGCACCAACACTTGGTGTTTTTTTGTCCCTCAAACTCGGTTATTTCAGGCACATTTTCAGCCACATATACTAGCATCATAAAATAAACAGTAATGATCAACATTATGACATTTTCAACCCCTCTTCAACTTCAGCAAAGACAACATTACTAAGAGACCATCACTTCAAGTTCAACATTACTTAGAGATTACAATCACTTCAAGTTCAGCATTACTAAGAGCTACCATGACTTCAAGTTCAACGACATAACAAGTTCGACATAAGAAAATGCCCACTAGGCGAGTTACATAACAAACGACGACTAGTTCCTTCCGCACTTATTGCCGCCTCTTGCCCCCCTCCTGACAGATATCTTCTTCTTCTTCTTACCACGAGCAACCGGCTCCGGCTTCGGTTCCTCCTCCTCATCTGACACCTCCTCATCCACATAGTCATCCAAAGCCGCCATCCGCAAGGTGCCGACCGTTCTCTTGCCTCTTTCGGTGAAGTCTTTGGGTGTGTATTTATTGATTCCCCTCCTAGGCTTTAACATGTATGCTGACCGAACTTGATAGGTCCCCAAGGTCATGTCATCACCAACCTATTACAAAAACAAACGATATGGAAAAGACCGTGTGTGAGGATAAAGTTAGCAATGCATCAATAGTTGAATATGTGGTATTGGCATACCTCTTGGGTGACCACACCCACATCATCATCCTCCAAATGAGCACCATGGCCATAAGTGGGATCTGATGGTGTCACCGACCTAGACCGCTGAGGTGAAACATATTCAGGGTCACGACAACCGACAAGGTTCGATAACCGCCTTAACCTTTGGCCCTGGCACTGCAACATGTACAAGTGAATGAGATATCGAACGTAGCAAGACATGTTACATGGACAACTGAAGGAGATGTGAACCTTAATGAATGCTCGAAGTGCACCTTCCCCATCGCTTTCCCAACTGGGGTTGTCTCCAGAGTAGTCTCGGTCTCATCAGCTGCTTTTTTGATTTGGGTACGCTATGAACAGAAACGACATTAACGTGTTAGGCAAGCAAAGAAGTGAATAGTGTGGATGTGAAAGCAAAGAGGGAAATACAAATACCACAAAGTTCATCATTGGAGCTGAAGGGACTCGGGTGCCTTCCTTGACTAATTTGTTGTACTGGTGCTGGGTTAGCTCATCGAAGACAATGGGATCTTCCAAAATCTCCTCATCATACGCCGGCTTGCATATCTCCACATGGGTACTTGCAAGAAACCATGTGAGATAGTTGTTGAACACTATCGGGCAGTGCTCACGAAGCAGGGATCGTCTTCCGGCCTTAGCTTGCTCCACACTAAGCGCGAACTATATGATATACTTTCTGTGATGCCTGTCTCAATCCTTGATCTTCCGCTGCCTTCTCCTATCCAACCTGCAAGTTAGAAGCAGAATATTAGAACCATCGAAACCGCCGACAAGCTGCTAAGTGCTCAAGGTTAATTCTATCTTACGCGTGAAGCAACTTGTCTGTGTCCTCCACTCCGACGAGTATGGTTGGAACAAACCAAACTGGCGGCACACCTGATGTGGCATGTGAAGCTCAACCGCCCAGTTGCATATGAGTGGGCACCGCATATGCCAAAGATCTCTATCCCTAAGGCACATCGGATTCAGCATGAAGTCTTCAGGGTTACCGAAAACAATCCCCTTTTCCATACGGCTCTCATTCCACCTGCAACATAGCATAGAATGCAAAACTGACTTCGAGTTACAAAAGAAGCATGAGTATCACTTATGCAATGTCGACTCACCTACTCAGCCGTAATCGTGTCCATCTCGCTCGTGCACAACTTGTACATGACCGAGGGATCATTCGTCGTCTCATTTAACACATCCCACTTGTAAGCCCAAGTGGGGTACCGTAGTGGGTCGTCTTTGTCGTCCCAATACTCGTACTTCACGGTCTTTGGTCATCCAAACGGCAATCACACCCAGCTCCATACAAAAAGGGAGAGGATACAACCACCAATACCTCTGTCCTTTGATTTCCTACAACAGGCTTCATCCAACTGCACATAAAAGAGAACATGGTTGAATTAACAGGAAGATCGCATTAATAATGTAGCAATGAAGTGAAAAAGAAACAAATATCTACCTGTCTATATAAGTAATCCAGTGTCGCCGAACCCCAACTCCATTTGCTATCGAAGACGGTCAACGCCTTCAGCCACATCCATGGAGCATTCTTGCATGTGCCATCAGCAAACATAGTCCTGGATATAACGTACCACATGTAAACACGAGCATATGTCTTGACCTCATCCTCATTAGCATCCTCAGGGCAGTTCGCAAAGTTCCATGCAATCCAGGTGAATGGAGCACCGGTTGCGACTCTTTCCTTCTTCTTGTCTTCTGCTACTGGTTCTGGAGGCTCCGAAGGAACCATACCGATAAGGGCATGCATCTGCTCGTGCCACCCATCAGAATCGGTGATCATACAAAGAGGATTCCCCTCGATAGGAAGACCGGAGATCATAGCAATATTCTGGAGCGTCACGGTCATCTCCCTGGTCCGAAGATGGAAACAGTGTGTCTCCATCCTCCAACGATCAACAAGCGCAGTGATTGCTACAATATTGAGGGGTGGCATCGACCGGCTGACCAACTGAATGAAAGGGAGGAGCCCTATCTCCCTTACATACGGTATGTACCGCTCATCATAGCGCATCCCCCCAAGGTTGACCTCGTGAGACCGAATATTCAGAGGTTGAAGCTCCTACAAACAAGCAAATCATAAGATTACATATGGGCATTTGTGTTTGAAATAAACACAAAATTCATAATACCGACCACTTTCATTATTACCCGCTACTACACCGACATAGTGTATGCCCGGTGTTGATGGTCCCAGTGATCATCGAGAAGCCAAATCATCCTACAAATTTCAAACAAAGCATTCTTGTCAATACGAAAATCTTTTCAATACAAATAAACTAAAGTAGGGCTACTATATTCAAGATTCAGAGCATATGTATCCAAAGCATTCTTGTCAATACGAATATAATTTCAATACAAATAAACTAAACTAGGCCTACTTCATGCAAGATTCAATAGAAATATCTTTTCCATAGAAATAACATGTCAATCTATGTATCCAAAGCATATCTTTTCAATACAAATAAACTAATCTAGGGTTGCAAAAATAATAAAGATCATCTACAAATTTTAAAGTCCCACTAATCTATATACATGCAAGATTCTAATCTAATCAAACAAGGGTTCCCCAAATCTTAAAAAAACATACATTTTATGGATAAAAAGAAGGAGATCGGAGGATATTACCTTCTAGGATGGATTGGTGAAGAAATCCATGGACGAAATCATCAGATCTGAAGGATTTGGGAGAGGGGATTGAGAGGGGGAGAGGAGTCAGCCGCCGCTGCATGGTTTTGTGATTGCTCGGGTGAGTGGGGAGGCTAGCACGCGGTGGCTGCATCTAAGTCAATGTGCAACGCCTAAGGGTTAGGCGCTGCACATTACATGTTTGGTGCCTAGCTGTGAGGCGCTGCACTACTAGGTGCGGGCTCTAGGGCTTCCACACTGGACAGTTGTGCAACGCTCCAGAGCTGGGCGTTGCACCGTAGGGTGTGGTGCCTTCATGTCAGGCGCCACTCAAAAAGGTCATCCTAGTGAAATTTTTTTAGGGGCAATTCATTTTGTGAATTGATTTTGTCAACAGGTCAAATTTTCAAATTTGTTGTAGTTGCATTGCATAGCCTTCTCAACTCAGCCTGGCTATGCAAATGCAGCCTCAAATGCACCATCTGCAAGTTGTTTGGTTGTCTGCATACCCTCTTGCCTGCATGGACAGAACCACAGTGCCTGGTGTTTGGTTGCTGCATGTTAGTGGACAAACCCAAGGCATGGTGTTTGCAACGCCTGGTATGTGGTAACCTTTTTGGCTAGTTGGTGAGGTTACTAGCACACTTCGTCATAACCATGCACCACACATCATAAGCAGAGCAGAGCATAAACAAAGCATCAACTACTTAACAGCATAGTTTAGGTAACATA